ACCTCTTGGGTATTGACTTTAATTTAATATAGCTCTTGCCTTGGGGAAAGATTTGATCTTTCATAACTTGACTAAGGGCACGTCATTCCCCTCCATGTGCTCAGAATAAGCACTTTCTCAAAAGCTTTTCCTGTGAAATTCTGGTTCTTCCCCGGAAGTTGGCTCTTCATGAGTGAGTTAGTTTATTGTGCCAACCTGGCCGATAAACACATATGGGATTGTTTGAAGGGCGGGGGGATAAATGGCTTGCTGAGCCTTGCCTTTTGAGTTCTTGGGTCTCTTGCTTTGTGATGGTCGCACCAGGGTGCAGCTGCCTTAGCCATTCCTGCTTCAGCTTGCAAGGCTGACTTCCTGCAAGACATCCCCAAGGAGAAGCCATATCGACCTACCCTGATGCAGCCCTGGGTGCTGGAGCAGCCGTGTGAAGACCTCTGCCAGTGCTGAGATGCTTACACATTCACTGACTCAGCTTTCCTTCTGCAGTTGGCATCATTGCCTCTGTTTTGTGAGATGGAGGAGGACTTTGTGGATTGGTGTTGGACATATGGGTTAATGGGTTGATGTTGGACTTGTGGGCTTGGGCAGCATTGAGTTGAGATGTTTTCTTTTTTTTATTTTTTTTTAAATTTTTTTTTTGAGATGTTTTCTTGATGCACACTTTCTTTACATAAAACTCTTATACATGAGTTGCTGTGGATTTGTTTCTCTAAAGTACTCAGACTAACAGAGTGAGTATGGCCTGAGTCCTTGGGGTGGGGTGTAGTAGTGTGAAAAATGATTTGTTTTTCTCAAATAGAGGTTGTGTTGTGTCGTGTGTTTCTGGTACCCACTTCTGTTCGAGACTTAATGCATCCTTGCGCTGATGTTTAGAGGATGCTTGTCCCTCCAATTTTGCTCCCGTTAACAAGGCCAGAGAAGAACGGATAGACTTGGGAAAGGGGGAAGATGCCTACATTTGCTTCCTCAGTTTCAAAGGAAGCCAGTTACCTCTTAGGCCTCATTCAGCTTCTTACTAGCATATCATCATTCCCATGGCCTGACCTAAGCCATGGAATTTTCAGTTGTCTCATATGCATATGAAAGGTGGACACTGAATAAGGAAGACTGAAGAAGCATCAATGCCTTTGGATTGTGGTGCTGGAGAAGACTGTTGAAAGCACCACAGACAATTTAAAAGGACAAACCAATCTGTGTTGGAAGTAGTAAAGTCAGAGTGTTCCTTAAAGGCCAGGATGGCAAGACTTTGTCTTACAAACTTTCGACATGTTGTCAGGAGACACCGGTCCACAGAGGAGGGCATCGTGCTTGGTAAAGTGGAGGGGCACAGCAAAAAAGAGGAAGGCCCTCCACTAGATGGCTGACACTGGGACTGCAGTGGGGGTGGGGTGGGGTGGCAGTTCACAGACTTCTCAAAGCCCCTCTGAGTGCTGGATCAAGAACATGCCATACCTTCTATGTCTGTGTGAGAAGAGTCTGCTGGGTTCTTCTAGGGAGGTGTTCCTCCCTCTAGCAAAGTGTGGTAGTTACATGATCTGTTGTCAATCATCTCGCGGCTTGGTGACTTCATTAGGAGGTGCTAAGGAGATGGCTCATTGGAGGCAGGGCACACATTCACTCCCTGGAGACATTGAAGCTAACAAGACAGATGAGACAGGCTGATGGCAGCCAGAGCCTCGGAGCTGGAGAAGCCATGTGGAGTCTCCTGCCAGCGCTGAGATGCTTACGACACCATTGGATCCACAAGACTTCCCACCTACTGGTCTGCGATCTTCCTGCATTCAGAATCATTGCATGTGTTTCGTGAGTCTGAAGAGGACTCTATAGATTGGTATCAGACATATGGGCTAATGTCAGATTTATGGACTTGATCTGGACTGGGCTGGGATGTTTTCTCAATATTCAATTGCTCTTGTATATAAAGCTCTTTCTTATACACATGAGTGTGTCTATGAATTTGTTTCTCTAATCTACCCAGATTAACACAAAAAGGAACATATAACAAGGACATCTTGTTTCTACCTCTGAATATTGCCATCTGCATGTGACGTTTAGGATGACAGTGGCCCACTTGAAACCAGGAGGGGAGCTGATCCAAGGCAATAAGAGAGGAGGATGGAAGAGCCTGAGTCCTTCAAAGCATTGTTGAGCGACTGATCAAAACAGACCCCGCTCCTTGTCTCCACAGAGCTTAATTACGACACGAGCAAATAGCAAACACAATGAGAAGGTAGCATTTGCTCAAAGACCCAACAGAAACCAGGGGTGCAGAAGAACATTCCAGGCAGAGGGAACAGTACGGGCAGAAACTCTAAATGTATTTGGAGAGCATTCAAAATTTATGAAGAACGAGGCCCCACTGTGCCCAGAGTTGGGAGTTCTGAGAAGCATTAGGCTAGGTCAAAGACTTTGGCTCCGACTCTGAGCCAGATAGAAATCTCGGAGAAGGGATGACATGAACTGACCAATGCTAAAAGAGAAAAACCCACAGTAGAGGCACGAAAGGGAAAACAAAAAAGTTCAAGAGCTAAAAAGCAGTACGAACTACACTAGAATATGATTCCGAGCGATCCACGTGTAAGTTCAGAAATGCTAATTATCTTTACCAACTTGGATTGGAGGCCATTTTGCTTACCCTAATGTGAGTGTGCCCATAGACTTAAAGGCTCAGACGCTCCACATGAGGTCGCTATGAATCAGATCGGACTGATGGCAGTTTGGAGTTTGTTTTTAATGTGAATACCAAGAGCTGACTTGTGGGATTCTTGATGGCGGGCATTTTGTTCAATTTTTCACTCATCTGGCTTCTCATTTCCCCCCAAACTCACCTGCCATACCCCCAGGGACCGTTAATCCAGTTACTGTCTCTATAGATATACATCCTGGATTTCATATACAGAAAAACATTTAAAAACAACCCTCCCCCTAAAAAAGAGTGGGGAGAAAACCAGGAATAACAAAAAGATAAAACCTCAATCGAAAAGAAAGCAGAAAATATTAAAACTAGAACAAATTTAAGTGGATCGTAAGGAAGATCAAAATAATAGGGTGCTAAATGTTAGCCCAACTGCATCAGCAGGGACCCAAGGTCTAAGACAGCCTTCATGCCAGCGAGGCTATTCACATCCAGGTTTTTGGTAAGTCAGAACAGGTACTTACCATTCTTACTTATCCTGAGTGATTTAAAAGCTGCACAGGCAGCCAGGGTAGGTGATGGTGTGGAAGAACTTGTTGTAAGGCTGGTTGGTTCCATTGTCTCAAAGAGAGGACCCGTTGAGTAAACATTCAAGGGCAAGGAGGAATTGCCCAGAAGCCTGCTCTTTGTAATTCTAGGATTGCACACAGATAACGTTCTTTCCAAAAGTGCTGTTGATTCTCTCTTTCTCTCTCTCTCACTTCCTTTTAAGCAGTGCATCTATACAAGACGCTACAATTTAAATACACTCCCCAGATCCTATAAGATATGAAAGGGCAAACTTGCTTCGGGAGTTCTGAGGTGGCATTTATTACTAGAGGAATTTTTCTAAATGTCAAAACGCCATGCTAGTGTGGAGAAACACTTTGCTTTTCTCAAAATAAATAAGTAAATTTATCCTATTTCTGAATAAAATTTTTCAGTTAATAAGAGTTCTATTTTTCCCCTTAGGGAATCTGAGGCTGTGATAAGGGCACTGTCCTTCGCTTCCTGATGGTGAACTCTGCAGGGCACTTAGTAACACGTGCTGAAGCAGCTACGATAAAAAGACCGTCCTGTCTGATTCGCTAATCTACAAGCTCACATACAGTTCATTTATTGCCACACTAAATATAGCCTTATGCCAGATAAGGTATTTTCTAGGTCAATTATTTTCCTCTCTGATTTCTTCGTGTATTCCTATCTTGGTTCAATACCTTTCATCAAAGGCTAACTTAGAGTCAAGTCTCTTGCGAACCAGCTCTCATTTTAGACGTAAATCCTTTTAGATCAAGAAGGGATGCCGTGCCTATGTGGATTCATGCTGCATAATATGTGATGAGCCCACATTGATTTGGACTCAAGGAAACTTTACATTTGGAAGGCAGATTTTAAAATAAATTCTTTTTGATTTCCAACAAGTTCCAACCAACAGGCATTCTCAGCCTGGTACACCTCTAGACTATGTTCAGTGAAGTGCGAGTGGGGAAGGAAGGGGACACCGGCCTTTATGGAGTGTCTCCCAGGTGCCTGCAGATCTCTCTTCCCATCCCTTGAGCATCGTTACCTTCATCTTCCTAAGAAGATGTGGAGGCTTAGAGAGGCTGTGTGACTTGCTCAAAGACATGTATCAAATAAGCGTGGAACTGAAATTGGACTTGTGCTAGTCCAATCTCAAAGTCTGTGATGCCTCTTCAAAGGGAATTGGTGAAAGGCGTTATGCATTACCTCGGATGAGTTTCGTTCCCATAGAGTCTCATGCTTAACTGTTGTCTCCACCTTTAGTCCTTCTGTATGGGGCTTACTTGTGTCACTTTGTTGCTTTATAACTGTGCTTTTTGTGTCAGCTTGTTAACTGCAGTGATTATGAACTCTTGACCAGGTTGGCTTCATTTTATGACGATGGACTTTTTGTTTCAGTGTATCATACTTTAAAATATCTTACAACACGAAGACTTCTTCCTAAAATTATGAAACATCAGTTTATATTTAAAATAATAAAGCCAAAAATTAAAAAAAATAAAGTAATAAAGCCAGCAGCATATAAGTAGCCTATAATATTGCGATAACATTATGATATGAATCATACTTATTATTTGTATCTAAAGGTATAAAATCTATTATTGTAAATGAGTTATGGAAGAAGTGGTTATAGGACATTCAGCCAGCTCTGTGACTCCATTGGGATTTCTATTGCCAAACTATTGTGTTGGCTCTATATCAGCTTTACAATCCTGGACTAAATTTCATATCAAAAGTATAAATCAAATACCCTAATTTTAATTGCCACTTACTAATTTGTGGGTTTCTTTCCCTTTTTTCCTCCTAGGAGAAAAATTCAAAGTGGAAACAAAAACTATTGCTGTTGACTTTGGATCACAAGATATTTATGAGAAAATTAAAGCCAGCTTGGAAGGTCTTCAGATTGGCGTTTTAGGTTTGTATCTTTGCCATTCTTTTTACATTTATTACTTGACTTTTACCATGACTTTACATTTCCTTTTTTGACATTAAATATTTACTTGATAAAATGACTAGGGAGGAAAAAACTGTCTTGTTAATATAATTGATCACTGAATAATATTAACATGTGTATGTTAGAATCATTGCATTTTTTTACTCATGTTTTATTGTATTTTAGGTGAAAACTTACACAGCAGTTTTTTTTTATAATTACATATTGGGGTTTTTTAATCATTTTATTAGGGGCTCATACAACTCTTATCACAATCCATACATACATCAGTTATATAAAGCACATTTGTACATTCATTGCCCTCATCATTCTCAAAACACCTGCTTGCCACCTAAGCCCTTGGCATCAGCTCCTCATTTTTCCCCTCCCTCCCCGCTTCCCCCTCCCTTATGACCCTCGATAATTTAAATCATTATTTTATCATATCATACACTGTCCGACATCTCCCTTCACCCACTTTTCTGTTGTCCATTCTCCAGGGAGGAGGTTATATGTAGATCCCTGTAATTGGTTGCCCCTTTCCACCCCACCCTCCCGGTATTGCCAAAACAACATTTTCGAACATACTTTTAGTCAAATCTCCCCACACCTTACCTCTTACTGTAAAGGAACGGTCTTTGATAGCGTGTCCAGATAAGGCAATTAAAACAAAAGAAGTTAATCAAGCACAGTCCTCCACAGTACTCTTGGACTGTGGGGTTAACTCTCACTCTGCCATGCCATCTTTTTCTCATCTCTTGCCTGGTCCAGGTCTTGTACTGTCATGCCCAACCGATCTCCCTTCCTTAGTCACCGAAGGCTTAACGATAAGCAAGAAGGTGCCTAATTTTAATGTAATGTAATGTTGTAGCAGTCAAGAAATCAAATTATGTATTGTATTGGGCAACTCTGCTGCACAGGACCTCACTAAAGTATTGAAGAGCCAGGTGTCACTTTGAGGACTAAGGTGCATCTAACCAAAGCCACAGTCTTTTCAGTCACCGCATATGGATGGGAAAGTTGAAGACTGAAGAAGAATTGAAGCATTTGAATCAGGGTGCTGCTGAAGAATTGTGAAACTACCATGGACTGCCAGAAGCACAAACAAATCTCTCTTGGAAGAAATACAGCCAGAATAGTCCTTAGAAGTGAGGCTGGCGAGACTTCATCTCCTGTACTTTGGGTATGTATCAGGAGAGACCAGTTCCCTGGAAAAGAACGTCATGCTTACGCTTGGTAAAATAATGGGTCAGTGAGAAAGAAGAAGACCATCGGAACTGATTTGCACAATGGCTACAACAGTGGGCTCACACAGAGCAACGAGTGGGGAAAGGACAGGGTAATGTGTTACTCCATTGTAAACAGGGTCACTGTGAGTTGGAACGTATTATTTGACACCTAATAATGACAACAATGTTCTAGTAGGAAGACCATCACTGGGTACAAAATAGTCAACTGTAGGGGAAGTATTTTGAGAAGCACAAGTAGACCAAGAGTATAAGAGGTAAGGGGGAATGAGTGCCAAAACACGGTGAAGTGACCTCGCCGGTGGGTAGGAAATAGGGGAAGGATTCAGAAATATTTAGTAAGTAGAAGAAGCAGGGCTGGTGTGAAAGATTGCAAGTGGGGTGAAGAAGGAAGAACTCATGGGAGACCTTCCAAGTTTCTGGCTTGTGCATCTGGTCAAGAGTGCCATGTCTTATAACACGGGGGAGCCGTGAGAAGCAGCCGTTTGGGAGGGGAAGCTCATCGAAGAAGTTTGCGTTCCTCTAGCATGTCTTAAGAGGAGCTGGGCTGCCAGTGGTGGCAAACATTGCTGTAGGTTTCAGGAGAGCTGGAGACGAGAGTTTAGGAAAGAGTCATCTATGAGTAATGCCACCAAGTAAGAAAACGAACAGCAGCTCGAGGCTTGAGCTCTTCCGAGTTCCCGTTCCTCTTGTAGCATGAAGGGAAACCAAAGCCAAACCCATCATCATCCAGTTGATCTGACTCACAGCAACCTGATGGCTATACGATCAATTTCCTAGATCATTAGGGGCCTTTTACTTGTCCTACTGCCCCCTTTTTGGGGGGTGGGAGGGAACTACTCGGTGCCCACTTTGGCAATTAAAACTGTGGGCCAGAATCCATGATAAAGTGTAGGTATCTGCTTTTACAACACCCCCTGGATCATTGTGGCATCCCTTGGGAGTGAGGGATACTGCCCATCTTCGGAAGCACTACATACATCTTTATTGGAGCAGACAGCCATATTTGTCTCCCAAGGAGCAGATGCGGGTTTGAACTGCCAACCTTGTGGTTAGCAGTCCAACACCTAAAGCATGGAAGAAGGATTTGGTTTTTGCTCTAGTTCAGCTGTAGAAACACAACACACGCCCCCCATGTCGGCAATTTTATCATGTTGTGTAGCCACATGTTTAAAAGGTAAAATGTATTTTACTATTTTATTTAACTCACTGTATTGAAAAAAGTATCCATTTATCATTTAATTAATGTTAAAATTATGGTGACTTTTTTTGTTTTTTTTCTCCGTACTAAGTCTTCAAAATCTAGTGTGTGTGTCACCCTCGCAGCCAGCCTCAGTTCTGACTGGCCACATTGGAAGGGCTCAGAGCCACCTGCGTGTGGCTGGCGGGTACTGCATTGGGCATCGCAGCTCTAATTCTTCAACATCTCTCACTCTCAGCCTGTGTTTAGAGCCCGTTAAAGCGGCGCTTCTCCACCAGTGAGAATTTGCAATGTCTGGCAACGCTCAGAGACATTTTTGCATGTCACTGCTTGAGGGAGGGGTGTTGGGGGCATTGCTACTGGTCTCTAGTAAGGGATCCTGCTACCCCCACCCCCACGGAGCACAGGACAGACACTCAATAAAGAACTGTTGGCCCCAAATGTTAGTAGTGAGGGCTGAGGTTGGACAACTCAGCTGTAAGCTTACACTACAAGGAAACAGTTCTATTTTCTAAAACACACCCAGACATACGGTACACCTCTGTTTTTTACTTCTAATTGGTTACAGATCACAATAAAAATACTTGTGGTGAACATGTACACCATCCTCCAAAGTTTACAACAGCACTTTCATGTACTTCTGTTAACTGGGCTACAAGCTTGCTTGTCTTCCTCTTCTATCACAACTGCCCCTTCATCCAAGTTGCATCATTCTTACTGGGAGTTAGTGAATACCTGGCACCACATTATATTGTCATTTTTTAAGGGAGCAATTAAAACACGTTGGTGATCTAAATTGTATCTTATTACTGGGTCATAGCTCAAGTCTAGTCTGATAGCGCTTTCTCTAGCATGGCTGGAGTGCTCTAGAACTTGTCAGGGGTCTGATAGTTATCTGTTCTTTCTTTTAGGATTGCCTAGGTGTGCAGCCACTTCATCTTCTTTCTTTCTACACTCCTCTCTCCCTCTCCTCCTAGGCTTAAGGCCAGGCTTACCTTCCAATATTCCCTAAGATAATATAGATTGACTTCTAGTGAGATTTAGCTATCCACATGAACTCATAGGAAGGGATTTTTCCTACTTCATGTTGGGCTGCTAACCCCAAGGTGATTTAACCCCCCACCTGCTCCATGGGAGAAAGACAAGGCTTTGCAATCTTGGAAACCCACAGGGGCAGCTCCACCCCCTTGATAGCATCGAGTTTGGTTTGATTTTTAGTGCTAATGGAACTAGTAATGACAAAGAGAAAAACAATGCATCAAGGTACCACCCTACCTGCTGGAATAGCTGAGCCCCTAAATATGATATGTGCTTAATAAAATGTTTTCAGAATTACAAAGGAAAACGGTCAGGTTCTTTGTCACAAAAGGAACATTATTAACTTTTCAATAAGATAAATGGTGGGGCGGGGCAGCCATGAATTGTGGGACTTTATATTGAAAGGTCAGCACAACTTGATGAAACTTCAAATGCTTGAAGTTGGTAAAGTTGGATTGTACTGTTATGTAAAGTAGATAAGCAGTACTGTCTCCTTTCAAGCAAATGCCAAGGAACACAGATTATAGAAAGCTGATAAAAACTTCCACTATTTAAAGAACATGACATCAGAACTCTTTGAATAAGCAAACAATTGATTAACAAAATGTGATCGCTAGAGTACTTACGTGACTCCTCAAGAAAGACTCTACTATGTGCGTCAAATTAGCTTGGAGGACTTTGCACAATTCATGGTGAAGAGCGGTGCTTCGCCAAGGCCAAAGAGTAGCCTTGGATTTGAAGCCTGCTGTCTTAGGCAGGGTTCTCTACCGAAGCAAAACCAGTGAAGCTTGTATGTATACATACAGATCCCCCCAGACCCACTGCCACTGGATTGATTTTGACTCACAGAGATTTTATAGGGCAGAGTATCATTGGGTTTCAAAACTGTAAATCACGATGGGATCAGAAAGCCCCATCTTTCTCACCAAGAACAGCTAGTGGGTTCAAACTGCTGACCTTTCGGTTAGTATCCCAACATGTAACCCACTGCAGCATCAGGACTCCTGTATGTTGCTGTTGTTAGGTGCTGCCGAGTTGCCTCCTATGCATAACAGCACGAAATACTGCACGATCTTGGGCCATCTGCACAAGCGTTCCCTTGCCAGAGCCCATTAACGCAACTACTGTGTCAGTCTGTCTTTTTCACTGCCCCTCCACTTTACCAAACATGATGATGTCCTTCTCCAGGGTCTAGCCTCTCCTGACAATATGTCCAAAGTATACAAGACAATGTTTTCCATCCTTGCCTCTTAGGGGCACTCTAGCCTACCTTTCCATCCAGATTGGTTTGTTCATTTAGCAGTCCATGGTACTTTCAATATTCTTCGCCAGCATCAATTCAAATGCATGGATTCATCAACGGTCTTCCTTATTAAATGTCCAACACTTATCTGTCAGTTTGTCGTACTGTGGTGGCTCATGTGTGGCTGTGATGCTGGAAGCTATGTCACTGGTATTTCAAACGCCAGCAGGTTGCCCAAAGTGCACAGGTTACA